CTGGAAATACGAGAGGTCAATATTTAGTTACGTAGATAACAATAAATCAAATAATGTGGTGGTACGGATAGCAGGGGGGGAGGGGGGTACCCCACCAGGGGCTACTGTGTCATGCACCGCTGTTTCCAATGAAAATATGTCCAACGACCGCCAACGCGGAATGCAGCCAGAGACTGCCTCACTGATCTTGGTCTCAGCGATGCTCGTGACAACTACGGATGGTAAACAGCGACTGTCTAGAAAATGAACAAGCTAGTGATATGCCAGAGGAAAAAGACTGAGCCTGAGAGACATGTAAGACATTTAAGTGAGAGTTCGCCTGGACTTTGCCACACTGATCACATCGCGTTTATCACCTATGGTGTTAGCCAGTAGGGCTCAGGTTGTCGACCCTCACCTAGCAACCTAGCCATAGCCATAGCTGCCATAGCCATAGCTGCCATAGCTGCACCAGGAAGTCACAGCCCACGTGACGTCACAAACGGTTCGACGGTTTGACGTCACAATGGTTTCACGACTAAACCAACGGCTTGCGCCCCTTTGAAGCTTAGGAAACACACCCAATTGCCCCAAAAGTACGGAAGATAGCAAGACGAGGATCTATATGCACCTTTGACTTTTTACAGATTTAATCAGAGCCCTTCGAGTGGATGGGCTGGTTGTGTGATTGGTTGGCCGTGCTGGTTGATAACTGGTATGCTTGTGCGGGAGAAGGCAACGAATATAGCTTCACTTTGATGATCCTTGATTGGCTTTATGATCCGTCAAGAATCCTTACCGCTAAGTAACGAGTCTCTGCCACACTCGTGTTGTCCGTATTCCGGAGCTGAGCTGAGAGGTGCAGTGCCATCCTGGCATGATTACATGGACAGTACAGATTCCTGAGTCACCAGTGATGGGACGCAGGACAGACTGTGTGCCCGTTGTCCGGAGCTGAGCTGGGAGGCGCAGTCCCACCCTGGCACACGTGGGCGGGACAGATCCCCGAGTCACCAGTGATGGGGACACAGGACAGACTGTGCTGCGGGAAGTGCCCGTTGTCCGGAGCTGAGCTGGGAGGCGCGGTCCCACCCTGGCACACGTGGGCGGGACAGATCCCCGAGTCACCAGTGATGGGACACAGGACAGACTGTGCTGTAGAAAGCGCCAGAACTATTATCTGCTAGGCCCTGCATGACTTTCCATGCCACTACCGAATCGTCAAAACATGAGTAAAACTGGTCGAGGAGGTATTTAGCCATGAACAGCTGCACGCTCTTACCGTTTTCGCGCCAGGCAGCACGCAGAATCCAGGTAATTCGTCATTGAAGGAGACTCCTCACAAACTTGTGATTTGCATGGAGGGGAGACTCCTCAAAAAGTTTTAATTTGCATGGAAGGAGATGCCTCACAAACCGTGATTTGCTCGGACACCTAATGTAACCATCACGCAATCATCCAATGTTTTTGCTCACTTGTTTACCAGACGTTGCTGTGTAAGTTTAAGGCTGACAGGTGAATGAAGCACCCATGATCAACTTATACGAAAGCTGACTTAGCACTCAGTTTGAATTGATTATAGACAGATGGTGCTCGCCGCAAGCACTACTTGCACTACTTGGACATACACCCGCACGATTACGGGTGGACCTTGAGTGCTGGTTTGGTATGGTAAGATGCAAACATTGCGACCCGACAGCTAGCGTCAGAACTAGCAAGGAATCGCACGGCTATGTCTACCGTGTTAGATCATCCCTCGTCAGAAGCTTACTTTTCAATTTCATGACAAGGTCCCGACTGAACGATGGCCGAATTGAAGATTGTGTGGCAATGTGAGGGCGTGGCTCCATTACCGCAATGTCACCCCTTATCGGGCCATCTCTCACATGCCTCCGAAGAGCCTCGCCTTGGCGATTTACTGCTCCGCGACAGTCTGCAGCACCATTGCTATCATCTGTTCCCTTGCGGCGGGTTTCACCTGGTGCTAGGCACCAACTGCAACGGCGCATCATCACATAAGACAGTAACGCCTGTCGCGAGAAGTAGCGCTGGATTTAGCGCAAAGGTGCCCATATATATGGGTCACGTTGTGTCATATGGGTCTCGAACTTTGCGCACAACATTTAAAGCCGTGAGACAGCATTATATCAAGGTTCTACCTTGCACTGTCCAAATAAGTTGTTTTTGACCCCACCCAACTACACACCACACATCACTTTTGCCAAGTGACCGCCAGTGCTGTACCTATCCGTCACAAGTTGATCTCGTGTCGCTGCGACGCTCGGTCCCGGGGCCGGTTGATCTCGTGTCGCTGCGACGCCCGGTCCCCAGGATCAGGGCTCTGTTTATCTCGTGTCAATGCGCCGCCCGGTCCTCAGGATCGGGCCTGGGCTCAACTCTCTCTGTGTGCAGATTTTCAGCGCTTCGCAGCAGTTGCATTTACCGTATCAATTATATGGGAGGCCTATAGTTGTTTTCATACCGTTGCTGGAGAAAATATGCGCCTTAGCAGACAGCTTGCATGGAAGTACATCAAAATGCAACCAAAGCGAAATGTGACGATTCACGCTTCCGGTTTCTAAAAACTGTCTGGACTTTTAATTAGAAGTTGCAAACATATTGCTTCTAGTCTTCATAGGAGTGTCGGGAGGGCTTATCACGTATTGTCTCTCTGTTTAAATGAAAGCATTCAATGCCATTCTGTCACAGCTAATCTCACCTCATTTGGTTAATTCGAAGGCAGACGCTCTAACCGGCTGAGGTACCAGTGTGCAGGGTACATCCTACCTGGAATAATTACAAGAAAATTCGATGCACACATGAATTAAAACGTAGTGGTTTTCAACATGTCCTCCTGTCATTCAAGGGGCCAGCAGCGCACCTGTGTGTACGTTGCGTCATGTCATGTGCCGGCCCGCTGGGAGGTCGGAGTGGCGTCCCTCGCAGACTCTGCCGCGCATGTATCGGGCCGTTCTATCAGAGCAAACACCCGTTCAATTACACAGACGGGCTCGCTACTGCTCTTTGACCCGCGCCGCCGGCTGGCTAATCTGAGCACGCCGCGCCGCCGGCCGCGGCCGCGGCCAGGCGCGCCCGGACGGGTGACGGGGACGTCCGTCGCGGCGGTGGCCGGGCTCGGCCGGACGGGTGACGGGGACGTCCGTCGCGGCGATGGCCGGGCTCGGCCGGACGGGTGACGGGGACGTCCGTCGCGGCGGTGGCCGGGCTCGGCCGACGGCGAGCGTTTCCTCCTCCGGCCGGACATGCGCAGGGTGGGACGCCCAGGGCCACCACCGGCGGAATGACGGACCGCTATCTACAGGTGACAGACGCACCCAATGGACGCGCTGGCTGGGATAGGCAATTATCATAGGGCCGCTATCACTGGGATAGGCAGTTATCATAGGCCACTATCACAGGGATAGGCAGTCATCATAAGCCGCTATCCCAGGGATAGGCAGTTATCAGTGTCATGTGCCGCTCGCCTCTTGTACGGATGACGACGGAAACTGTTGCTTGCCAGCAGTTTGCAGATGTCAGCTGTTGTTTGGTTGTCCGCTGGTCCCGGGCAGGCAGAGGCATCGCTCGGCTCTGTGATCGGGTGCTTGCCAACACTCACCAGGCCTAGGTATCAATCCGCGAGCAGTCTCCGTGGCAAATTCTTATGCTGCACGGAGTAATATTTCCGCGTTGTATGCCGTACCTATGCGTACATGGTGTAGGTGGAAAAAAATTATGGGCATCAGGTTTGACCACGCTTAGAGTTTATCAGAAATATAGAAAAAAGTTTCTGATCTCATTACACTAAGCTGACTTATCTGATATCGACAAATCACACCAGACTAACTTATCCAGATTGTCTCGCCTACACAACACGCACGCGCCACAGCACTGCCCCCAGTTAGACCCGTACTATCGGAACCATTTCTCAGCCTTACCTGTCCAATTCTCCGCTAGTGTTGGCCGTTGATGGGACGACCCATTGATCCTGAGCCACGCGACACCGCCGGAGTTTATAATCCAAACAGGCAGAAAGCTCTTGTCGTGTTGGTCAAACTTCCGAGCAGTTGACACAGCTATTTGACGTTGACCTGAAAGCTTTTCGGTCAGCGAGTTTTGCTTAATTGGAGCTCCGCTCCGCGCATCATCAAAAAGTGGACGCCATGTATCCCAATCCAAGCCAGCGTAAATGTTTGAAGCATGTTGTGGTCGGATGAACAAACATTCGTTCATGTAGAAGTGTTCAAATCAACCCAATGACCTCTGGATCATAGCTTCGTTCAATTTGAGCACAGACTCAACAAACTTGTCTTACAATTAATTCCAAAAGAACCTTGTTATTGACTTGTGACAGGCCATATTCCTGCACTTTTCGGTGCCTAGCCGACATCCACTACACATAAAAACCAGGGTAAGTGGTTGCATAGTTCAAAGTAGTCATTTCGGTGCGTCTTGCGCATACATGAGGTTCTTCCAATGCGCTGTAGGTGAAGCATTGTCATAGTATGCCGCACGCAGAGCCAATGCTTCCTCCGTGGTTTTGGCGAATCGTCACTAATTTCGATATTCTTGTCACGTTATGCAGTGTCGACACAGCTAAATACTGTTCTTGGCTTCACACAGTGATTGAAGCGGGGACACCGTTCGCACACGCCGCTAAGATGGGCGACCGAGCACCCAAGAAACGGACCAGCTGGGAGGGCAACGAGGCCAGAGCGGTCGGCTCAGGGCGGCTGCAGCCTCCACGCGCCACCTCGTCAACCGCTCCGTTCAGACCCAGACCGAGGGCGACGCGCCGTTCAAACTGCGGCGCGCGCTCCTCCGACTGGTCGCTGATCGAACGCGGCCCGCAGACACTGCGCGCTCGCTCCAAGAGGATCCGCCGCGTCGCACAGCTCTTCGAGGAGCTGGCGGAGGCGGCGGCCGCGCGCCGCGCCGAGCTGGAGCGGCCTGGTCACCGACCGCCAGCCGCCGCCGCCGCCGCGCGGGCTCCGACCGAGCGGGAGGTGCGGCTAGTGCCGATGCCGGCCGCCGCGCCAGCGCCGAGGCGCGCCGCGTGGATGCCCTCCTCGCGCTGGGCAGCGGGCTGGGTCCAGCCCGGCCCGAACCGGAGGAGCCGACCGACGGGGACGAGCTGGACGAGGAGCTGCTCTGGCCAAGGTGCGCGCGCAGATCGCGGCTCGCCGCACCAAGTTCCAGCGACTGGAGGCGGCGTCCGGCACGCCGGCGGCGCAGGGGTCCGCCGGCCGGCCGGAGCCGAAGGCCGACAGGAAGTCGGCGCCGCCGGTGCTGAGGCAAACGTCGCTGACGGCGTGGCGCAAGTCGCAGACGGCTCAGCCACCAGCGGAGAAGAAGCGCACGACGTCAGAGCCGCCGCCAAAGCAGATGTCGCCACAGGCGTTCAACGGCAGCGCAGTCAATGGCTCTAATGGTCATGCAAATGGTCATGATCTGAAGACGACGAGAGGCTGGAAGGGGAAGTACATTGAGCAGAACGAGGAGCAGACGGTGAGATAGCTCGATCAACCGACAAACTGCTTTTGCCTTGTGTATTGTTATAAAGGTAATTAAATCACGTTCTCTTTTCCATTTAAATTCATTTAATTAAATTTTCCCCCCCAAATTCAATTAAATTTTTCATAAAAAACATAAGACATATCATCAGCTTGGCAGGAAAAGGAAAATTTGACAAAAGCTTTACTAACCATTTTAGATTACATAGAAAGAAAAACGGTAGATACTACTGCGTTTGTCCCCCGTCCCTCCCTCTGTCATCCACATCCTGAGGCTTCGACACCACTGCTTGCAATCGCTATACGGACAAACCTGCCAGTTCTTGCGTTTTGTGCACCCAACAGTGACCCGGTCATGGCCATCGATGCCCGACAAATGTGGTGCGAATGCATGACTTGTGGGCCGCAGACTGTATATCTCAGTAATATTGCTCCAACCGGACACAAAGCTATCACTTATAATCACCTTGCTTCAGGGCAAAAACGATCTGCTAAGATGCCAGCCATCAAGGCCTGACATGTTGAGTGCTAATCCATGATCATAAGTAGCCCGTGCTAAGCAGCGCGAGGCATGCAAATACTGATTTTGGCCAGTTTCACCTGATTTCAGGTGCTTCAAAGTCTCGGCAGTGCTGTGTTGGCCAAGCACAAGATGGCGACGAAGCAGAAGTCGCGTGCGCACCTGGAGAACAATATGTCAGAAGCCGAACGACGCTTGAAAAGAGCACAGAACCAGCACAGCGCTGCGCAGCTTAAGCTCGACAAGCTGAAGGGCAGGCTGACCCGAGACAGTGCATTCGAAAGGAAAGGGTACGCAAGGGACCGTGTCGTTCCCTGCTCCGATTACGATGATCACTGTGCCGTTTGCTGCTCGCCATAATGTCTTACTGCGTGAAAAACCTTACATACGTGCGTCACACATGTTCACCAATTATGTATCGCCCAATGACAGGCTTACTGGTGACCCATCCCCATCAGAAGTTTCAAAATGTGACTGAGATCGGACGTTCTTTTCAGCGCTGCCCCGTTCGTTTAAACACTTTGTGAGTACGCCGCCCCAGCGCAGTGTGCTGGGCCAATGAGCACAGCCTGAGCGCTGACGCCGGTCTCTGCCGGCAGACTGGAGGCGCTTCTTACTCGCCTAAACAACACGATCAAGGGTGAGCAGCGTCAGATCGAATGGCTCACTCTCCAGATCGCCGAAACGGACGCCAGCCTCGAGGAGCTGGCGCGACGAGCCGGCCATCTAGCGGCGTGAACGAGAACCCTTGCAGGCAGCGTTGGTGAGGCGCCGTTGTTTGAGTTGCGGCGTGTGCTGAGCGAAGGGAGCCATGTGATTGGACGCTTTAACATCAACGTTGATTTTTTGCTGTCTTGCACCAAATGTCGCAGCCTGAATGAAGAACAGAGTCGACTGATTCGCTGGACGTAAACAGGAACTACACTCTCTTCGTGCTAAATATTACCAAAGATGTGCACACAGCTGGCCACTTATGCACCTGTCCTTCGAGACATATTTGAATAGATATGTGTCAATTCCTGTTATGATCCGGTCACCATATCGGCCGTTTTCTGGAAAAATCTAAACGTTGATCTCACCAGAAGCCCGGGTTAGAGTTCAAGCATCCCAAGTGTGCTGTCCACGTCAGCTTACCATTGCAACAAGCTCTCGTTCATCCCGAACTGAAGACAAGGCAGTAGTGAAATTCAGTGGAAACGCGTCAGTGGGTCTGCAAATGCAATGTATTGTACCAAGCTACATGGAGAATGCTGTTCCTTCATATCAAGATCGGCTGTAAAATATACTCCATATTATGTTGTGTGTAAACGGTCACAAATCAGCACCGCACAATCAGTAATAAAACTACAAATATGTATCACAAGTACACAGTACTGTGACGCGTGGCACATCCCCAGACCGGTGGATCGCCACCACTCGCGCACGACCCACTAAAGACCCTCAACCAAGACTGGCGCGAAACCGGGGCCGACGGACCAGCGACAGGAGAGCGGGCCGCGCCCCGACGGCGGGCGCGCCAACAGCGGCCGGACGGGGCATGCCTCCACAGACAGCGGCCCGAGCACGGCACAACCCAGGACCAGCGGCAGAGAGGGGCCCACAGCCCGGTGAGCAGCGCTCCCACCAGGCGGCCGCCGCCGACCTCAGGGGCCGGCGCCGAGCGGGCCCACGCGGCGGCGAGGTCGGACAATGAGCAGGGGAGGCTTCAGCCCTGAGAAGGCTGTGCACATGATGGCCATGTTGACAGCGGCTGCCGCGAAGGAGATGAAAAATATTTTAGAACCATGCACGGACTCTGCCAGCTTATACCGCGTCGCCAAATGATCAACTAGAATCATCCCATTATAACGATCATCGGCGTACCACACCTGCTTGATCGCAGCGCAATCATTCCATTTCGTGTCACAACATAAAGTTGCCGTTTTGCGTTACAACAAGCAAGCCAGCAGTAAGGAAGGATGACCATGCCGTTTCGCCTACACATACGCGCGCCCACAGCATCGCTGACGAACTCTGTACCACAAATCCTCCCACTGACTGGGTGGCACATGCTCGCAGTAAAAAACCGATTTCATTCACGCTAGTGGGAAACGCAGTCACGCGAACAACACCGCTGATGTCCATTGGTCCACACACCTTCCACGGTTCGGACATGTGAGGGGTCGCTTAAAACCTTCCATATAGGCTGAGAGTAGCCGTAAAACGACGGCCTTCGCAGTCACATAGAAACGGCTCTACATTTAGATCCTTCACAGCAGCGCTGACAGCCGACACGCCTCTGCGCAGGGACAGACAAGTCTGCAGGCCTCGACGCGAGGGCGCAGTGACCCCGGCACAGAATCCGTCGCCACTCGCTGGCTCCAGGTCACCGTTCAGTGGTCTGCACACTCAACCGCTGGTCCGAGTGCTCCCGGTCCCCGATCGGCGGCCCCTCCACCAGTCCAGTGGTTCTGGCTGCCGCGCTGGGTCCTGGTCCCCGCTCGCTGGTCCCGGCGGCGGCTGCTGGTCCCTGGTCTCCGCCCGTTGGTCCCTGGTCCGGCGCCGGGGGCCCGCCGGTCCGCAGCGCTAGTCGGCCTCCTCGTCGGTCGGCTTGTGGAAGCCGTCAGCGATATCTGCCGGGTCGAACTGGCGCTGCTTTTTCCGGTCGTTCCAACGCAGGCACTCGTCGAGCGACTCGAAACCAGTCGGCGATCTGGTCCGAGGCGCAGATCGACGGCACCGGGTAGATGGAGGTGGTCACTCGCAGACTGCGGCAGGGTCGAATGTCAGAGCGGAACAGCGAACAGCACAGGACATCACCGGGTAGATGGAGGTGGTCACTCGCAGACTGCGGCAGGGCCAAATGTCAGAACGGGACAGCGAACAGCACAGGACATCACCGGGTAGATGGAGGTGGTCACTCGCAGACTGCGGCAGGGCCAAATGTCAGAACGGGACAGCGAACAGCACGGGACATCACCGGGTAGATGGAGGTGGTCACTCGCAGACTGCGGCAGGGTGGAATGTCAGAACGGGACAGCGAACAGCACAGGACATCACCGGATAGATGGAGGTGGTCACTCGCAGACTGCGGCAAGGTCAAATGTCAGAACGGGACAGCGAACAGCACAGGACATCACCGGGTAGATGGAGGTGGTCACTCGCAGACTGCGGCAGGGTGGAATGTCAGAACGGGACAGCGAACAGCACAGGACATCACCGGGTAGATGGAGGTAGTCACTCGCAGATTGCGGCAGGGTGGAATGTCAGAACGGGACAGCGAACAGCACAGGACATCACCGGATAGATGGAGGTGGTCACTCGCAGACTGCGGTAGGGTCGAATGTCAGAACGGGACAGCGAACAGCACAGGACATCACCGGATAGATGAAGGTGGTCACTCGCAGACTGCGGCAAGGTCAAATGTCAGAACGGGACAGCGAACAGCACAGGACATCACCGGGTAGATGGAGGTGGTCACTCGCAGACTGCGGCAGAGTCGAATGTCAGAACGGGACAGCGAACAGGACAGGACATCACCGGATAGATGAAGGTGGTCACTCGCAGACTGCGGCAGAGTCGAATGTCAGAACGGGACAGCGAACAGGACAGGACATCACCGGGTAGATGGAGGTGGTCACTCGCAGACTGCGGCAGGGTCAAATGTCAGAACGGACAGCGAACAGGACAGGACATCACCGGGTAGATGGAGGTGGTCACTCGCAGACTGCGGCAGGGTCAAATGTCAGAACGGACAGCGAACAGGACAGGACATCACCGGGTAGATGGAGGTGGTCACTCGCAGACTGCGGCAGGGTCAAATGTCAGAACGGACAGCGAACAGGACAGGACATCACCGGGTAGATGGAGGTGGTCACTCGCAGACTGCGGCAGGGTCCAAGGTCAGAACGGGACATCGAACAGGACAGGACATGACCGGGTAGATGGAGGTGGTGAGCCGGAAACTTCACCACGATCACGCACCGAAACAGGTAATGATGTTCAATACTGCACAACATTGCAACGGGACAACTGCCAGCGTTGAAAACTGCAGTCGCAGGCGCCAGCGCGGACCGGCGGGAAGGCAATACCAACAGTCAGCACACGCGCGATGTCAAGTAGTGACATTTGTCAGGCGACGTTGTTTCGGTCTAAAAAACACTGTCAGTGGGTGGCGAATCAAACGGGAGGACCATACCACCACGACACGGCTGGCAAGAGGCGGACCTCACGGGTCCCATGGGCCAGCATTACTGCACATACACTGAGAACTCACGGGACAGCAGTCACCGCTGTTAGTGGTCTGCAAAAAGGTAACAATTTCTGGGACCGACAGCGGTTTCTCAGTCCACTAAATGCTGAGGTCACCAAAATCGGTCGGCGAAATATGTAATATTAACATGCGCGGTGCTCATTTCTGTAAAATACCTTGCAGTGTAAGCACCCGCTGGCACTGTTATTGACTGGCAGCCTAGCGCAGCTGGGGGGGGGGGGGGGGGGGGTCACGTGGTGCAAGTTACCGCCGGGGGCCATGCCAACCGCAGCTACCAGCTGGTCGCTGGGTGAAAACCCGACACCATTCGACGCATGACACAGCTCTGCACTTACCACCAGGTGCGAGAAAGGAGATAGGCTTGCCCGTCCACCGGAACCTGAGCTACTGCGACGGCATCCACAATGTGCTGACATTGCTTCACTATGTTACAGTCGCGGGCATGCTTGAATTTGGCGCACTACACACTTATACCTTGTTTTGGAGATAAGAAAATATACATTACTCCACGGACAGCAGTCTGGGAAATCTAAGCAACCATGCTTTTTGGATGACCAGATAGTATCTTGGCATCGTGTTTTAACCTCAGCTTTAGCAAAAACAGTGAGTATTCTCCCCACTCTCTGGGATCCCCTCCTCGTCCGGGGTAAGGCCCCTTATCCTGACCGCATCTAGACCATGGACGTAGGAGTTAGAACGACATGCAGTTTTGAGGCTCAAGCGTCTAGTGCCATCTACCGGGCAAAGCCGTAAGCCGCGTTTACGGACGACGGGTGACAGGTGGCCGGGCACCGACCTATCTCCTTCCTTCAGCTCCTGGTAGTGCATGCCGTCGAACGAGACCCAGGCGGTGTTGCGCGCGGCCGGGTTGAGGCAGATCTGCAACAGGGCCGTCGGGGGGCGGTCAGCGGCCGGCCGACGCCGTCGCTCTGCCTCTCTCACCTGTCGCCGTGCCGCAGTTCCTGGCGGTTCCGCCCGTCGAACGACACCCAGGCGGTGTTCCGACTGTCGGGCGACACGGCGATCTGCCGCCGCACAGGGACGTCCAGGTCACACAGAGACGGCCGCGGTCACGGCCAGGTTACACAGAGGCGGTCACAGCCAGGTCACACAGAGGCGGCCGCGGTCACGGCCGGTCAGAATGGTGACGGCCGGCGCCCGTCACACCGGACACGCCGGGTCACGGCCGGGTCATACAGGGTACACCGGGTAGGCCGGGTCACGACCAGGTCATACAGGGTACATCGGGCACGCTGGGTCACGACCGGGTCATACAGGGTACAACCGGGCACGCCGGGTCACGACCGGGTCATACAGGGTACATCGGGCACGCCGGGTCACGACCGGGTCATACAGGGTACACCGGACCAGGTCCGGGTTACGCAGTGTGTCTTGAATTACGGCCAGGTCAAATAGGGCACTTCGAGTTACAGCCCGGTCAAAAAGGGCACTCAGCGGCACGGCCACGTAAAAGAGGACACTTCGAGACACGGCCAGGTCAAAAGTCACTCCGGGTCACGGTCCGGTTAAACAGGGCACTCCGAATCAGGAACGGCGCCAGCGGTACAACCCATCAAAGAACACGGGGATCACGGGCAATATGACAAGACCTCTCGCGTATAGTCCACAGTCCAGCAAAGCACGAGCTACAGCTCGATGCGTCTCACAAGACGCTGATGGATTTTGGAAAGCATCATGATTTTCAGTTTTTCAGCCAGGAACATTAGCAGATTTACACAAAAGCGCGTTCGTCTGCCATTCAAAACGCCGGGCATGAGATGAGCTTGCCACAAACAATCGGAATTTGCACCAGCTGCGATAACCGTAATAGGATCATCAAGCCAGAAAGCGATGACACCTAACGCCAC